ACGGGTCGGAATGGCCCCATATACCATACATGACTTCATATACGATCAACCTTCACTACCTTGAGGTCTGTTTTGCTGTTGGGCAGCTGTGAGGTCATGTGACGTCATCAAAGGTCACCAAAGGTTTTTGGCCAATAACTCCGTACAGGAACAAGATACAGACGCGTGGATGGTCTCATTGTGTTCAGCTCGTCAAGACGCATCGAATGATATACATGATGACCTCGAGGTCACGTGACCTGAGGTCAACCTTTGACCTTGACCTTTCGAGGTCAACATATATATCATTCGATGCGGATTGACGAGAGGATCACGATGATGCCCTTAGTTTGTTCCTATCTTGACTAATTCGAAAGTTATTCGAGAAAAACTCTCTCCATATCTAGCGCCGCCATTTTGGCTTTTTCGACCCCTGTGACGTCATCTTTGACCTGACCTGAAAATGACCTTAGTAAAAATTGTAGATCTTGGCCGTGCGTATCCGATGCCGTTTACCGCTTGTCGCTATCTTGCTTCGTTCTCGAGATCTCAGGGGGGGCGGTCATCCGCCCCCCCCCCCCCCGTCGGTGCGAAGTTGGTCGGTGCGCGGGTTAAGTTGTGGTGGCAGTCTTAGTTACGGAGCGAGCGAAGCGAGCGTAGTCTTTCCTTAGATTAACGGAAATTTCTGAGTATGAGCGGCCGGCCGGCCGGCCGGCCGTGCGGACGCTTTTGCGAGGCTTATATCTCAGCAACCACTTGACCGATTTACACGCGGTAAATTTTGTAGGGTAGCTTCATTCCTTCTACCAAGTATTGGACTATTCCCGATGCACGTGGGTGACCCCTTATGCACGTGCCACGTGCAAAACGAAGAGGTGTCAGTTTTGTAATTGTTGCAATATTTCGGTAACTACTTGGCCGATTGCGCTGAAAGTTGGCATGTAGGTAGGCATCCACTAGGCAATGCATATCCATGTGCCAGAGTTGGGGTGCTGCTGCACGTGCGCACGTGCAGGGGTCGTTTCCAGATCTCGAGAACGGCTGGACCGATGGCGCTCAAATTTGGTACACGGTTGGGGACCAGTTAGTAGGGTGCCGTGCACAAGTCAGTTTGGACCCATTTTGCACGTGCGCACGTGCAGGGTGCCGCTTCCAGATCTCGAGAACGGCTGGGCCGATTGTGCTCAAATTTGGCACATCGCTAGAGACCGGTTAGTAAGGTGCCGTGCACACAAGTCAGTTGGAGGTACCCCCTCGCAATTTTGCACGTGCAAGGCCCACCCTCTCGCTCGCTCCGTTAGTCGCCCCAAAAGGCGTTATACTGGTCTTACCCCACTTTCCCTAGCTAACACGCATGACCATTTCTAATCCCAGTCATCGTAACACATCGATGACGATATGGGCAATTACCGCTCCCACATGGTCTTGAGCCACTTGACGACAAGCGACCTTTGATAGATCAAAGCATTTAGTCAATTTCAGAGCAGGTACAGATAACATAACTCTTCTAATACGAATAACTACTTCAAAAATGGACTCTAGTTACGCTACAGTTCTAAAAATAAGTAGGTATTCGCCTCACTATCATACCTGACGGGCCATCCTCGCTTTTGTCGAAAAAAAGAATAGGGTAACTGTGGGGAAAACGCACCCCTGGGTTAAACGCCTCCCCTAAAAAATCGTATTTCTTATCGACGGATAGGTGTTTTATACTGTCTTTCAGAACAGTCAGCTGCTTGTTTACGTAGGTCTCTATTTCCGGTTCTGCGTCTTGAGGAGCAGCGTAGGTAGGTGCTGATGTTGGTTTTGGGTGTTGTTTTTGTTGTTTTTACAGAAGATTCCTAATATTTTGATGCCCTCTTTATATTACAAAACTTGCTATTGTGCACATCACTAAAAACTGCGTTTTATTGTCATTCTGTTGAATTTATTATGCTGCGGCGTTAGTGGCGCGTTTTTTGTCAATATTTTGTTGACCGGAAATGGAGCGGATGGGGAAAGACGCCTACTCGATGCATGGGGCAAGACGCCCCCAGTTTTCTAAAAGGGGGGCGTTTTGCACGGTGGTGAGAGTGCAGGGTAGCGCCTTGTAGGTGGGTGCCGAAAAGGCCTCTCCGTGTCCTTTTTTGCTGATATATCCTAAACGACTGCAGGTATCGTCACCAAACTTTCAGGACTCCTCCGGGCATCCATTTTATACATTGCAACAAAATGTTATTCCAAAGGCTATAATAGGTTGACCACAAATGACGTCAGAATGACGTCAAGTTCTGCAATGTTCATCATGTTCTGTTGCTGGATGGGGTGGGGGCGCTTTGCACATGGGTGTGGGCGTATTACCCAGGGTGTGGGGCAAAACGCCCTTTTGTAAGGGTATGCGAAAACCTTTTTGGAGAGTTAAATACCACACGCAGGTGTCTTTTCTTGGTCTCAAAGCGTGGTAACAAGAATGAGCTACATGATGGTGCCCAAAGGTTTGAGTAATCTGTGTTGGGTTGAGTGTCAGAAGGTTTCGCGCTTAACCCTCGCCCGCACATGGGGGGGGGGGGGTTGCCACCCCCCCCCCAGGCAGTCTTTCTGCTCTGCACTCAACATTTTTAGAGCTAGAAGGCTGATTTTTCGTATAGCTGCTCGACTATCCTTTTTTGATGTCCACTGAAAATTTCAAGTTTCTGTGATTTTTGGTTTCGGAGATATGACCTTGTTTTTCAGGTCATGTCATGACCCAAATGGCCAATTCTCAACATCTTGCGTTTGCCATGGGCCTTGTGAGCTTTTGACACCCTGATTTCGGCCTTTTTTGCCAGTCTTACCTCCCACCTATCATGGAACATGTTGTTCGACGATGTACAGGGGTTAAGGTCAGGGTCAAGGTCAACCTAGGTCATCTAAGATAATTGCGTTTTAGGCAAGCTGAATTTACTTTTTGTGAAGTTTTTTGACTGCATTTTTGGTAAAAGCTTCTCAGATCATGATTTCATGTGATATGGACCCAAAAACAATCGGTGCACACATCAGTATACACACAGACACACACAGACATACAAACACATATAATTGACCTTGACCTAACTTGACCTGAAATGACCTCAGCAGCAAAATTCTGGTCGGATAGTGTGACAAAGAGGTTCTAGCTGGCTTGGCACCAGAAAACAGCATCGTCATCGGTATTTGATAAGCAGCGTAGGTACTTGATATCCAACGGTGACCCAAAACAGCAACATTTTTTAGTTTGACCTGACCTGGAAGGTCAATGACTGACCTGAGAAGGTAAAACTGGGTATCATTGGATTCGTCTCTTCCCAAAGAATCTTTTTGGTCTTTACTGCTAAGCTCTATCTCCAACAGGCGAAATGGCGCGGGGGGGGGGGGTGGCAACCACCCCCCCCCCCCCATGTGCGTTCTAGGATGGGAAAATGGCATGTGCGGGCGAGGGTTAATGGGGGCGTTTTTGACCTATTCACCCTACCTAACTCACAATAAGACAAGGGCTGTAGAGTGCAACATTCCTAGAGATCAAAATCGCATCAACCTTGGTGGAAAGTAAGTGAGCGTCACATCTGTGTCAGACCTGACATACCTATAGGTATAACCGGTTACTCAGAAGGTCGCGTGACCAGCCCAAGCTCAGACCAGTCATGGGAACGAATCCAGAACACGCAAATGGCGCACAGCGGAGGGAGATGTTACCCATTACTGATTTTTGAAAGATTTTGTTTTCCATTACTTTCTAGTTTCTAAGCATATTAGTCAGGGACTAATTTTGGTGAACGGGCAGTCCGGCGTCCTTGGGCCGCCCGGAGTTCTGCATGTATCAGAGGTCAGTGACCTGATGTGACCGGAGCATGCGCAATTATTCCATAGGAATTAGAAGAATAGGTTTAAAGTGCACGTAACAATGTAAATTTTACTTTTTAGCTGTTCGTCAGTACTCCTCATAAGAGTCCCTTGTCTGCTTTGATCTCATAAACTGATGGCGCAGCATCGCTTATACCACCTCCGGATATGGTCGTCAATAAAATATCGGAAAAAACCGTACCTATGCAATAACACATGATGTCGAAGCAACAATATAAGAACATTCTTAAGAATGAAAGTGAAGGTGCAAGGGAGCGTTAGAAAGAGACCTTTGTTTGAAAGTAGAACAGGATTTTAACCGTCGTAAGATACGGACGTTGATATAAAGTATACAGAGAGGAAAACTGACAGCAAGTGAAAATATGTGAACTGGACTGCTGCATGCTTGCAAAATACGTTCGGTATGCGTCTCACACATATCTCGCAGGATCCAGTCTCAGCCAGATCGGGATTTGTTCGTTGGACATCACCTGAGTACAATCCCAACGTCCTTGTTTGTAAGATCTTTATTCTTTGGTCTTTACCGATTCTCACAGTTCGTGCTGCGAGCCAAAATTTCACTAACACGTATGATTACTGTTATACGGTTATCATACACAGGATTGCAACCAGCCATACCTACATGATTCCGAAAAAAAGAACGAAGAGCTCGAATGCTGTTAGAGATTTGGCATACTAAACATTAAGAATCGATCGTTTGAACGATATTACACAATCATTGTGTAAAAAGAAGAATAAATGAGAGGGCACGGATTCGGCTATCGAACCTTTGCCAGCACACCCACACATTACATAAGCGTAATTCCGAAAATAGCCACACATAGATATACAATGGCCGTTCGAATGCGCTGACCAGGGCGGCTCCAGTCGGTATTTGTGGCGCTCACGGCCGGCCTTCTGTTACACGGAGCGCTGAGGCAGACCAGCGGAGCGCTCCGAGATGTGACAGGTCTCCCGGCGCGCCCCGTCAGCAGCCGGCGCGGTGGTCACCGAACGATTACATAACGATGATGACACGGTCGCGGGCGGACGGAAGAAGGTCTTTTTTGCTGCTCTGGTGGGCGGCGAAGACCAGAGGACCCTCGGCTGCGGCCGGTCCGCCGGGGGAGTCGCTCGGAGGAGTCGGTCCCCAGAGGAGGTCCGTCCAGCAGAGGAGCCAGCCGGCAGCCACCTCTCCGCGGAGATGGCCGTCGGTTTCGGAGCCGAGCCCAGCGCGATGTCTACAGAGCCGCACAAGCCACCGGCCATCACCTTCGACCGGACGGGCCTGCACTTCCGGCCCGGAGACAGCATGGTAAGAGCGCAAAGCAGGCCCTGACGGGTGATAATTCTATAAGCTTATCATAGGCGGTGGAACGGGGGGGGGGAAGAGGGCACCGTGCCCCCTTGATTTTGACATTTTAACATTAGCCCTATGGGCTTTGCATGGAAAGAATGGGACCAAAAGTCGACAGTGCCCATCCCCCCCCCCTTAATTGAAGATGTTCCGCCGCTACTGAACCCCATCCGTGCCAGCCATAACAAAAAAAAAACAAGAACAATAAATGCCCAAAATAGGTACCCCTCATTAATTACTGACTGGTTCCAATCATTCGTTAAAATGGTGTTGCCAGAGCGAGCAATCATTCCTTCCTTGAGACGATGCTATTTGACCCTGATCTGTATAAGTGTTTGTGCGGCGGCTTGCGTTAGGTGTTGGTGTTAGTGGGGAGGGTCAATCACGCCCCCTTCAACTGTTTGGTCACTAATTGAGCTACAGCAGGTCAGGTTAATGACCCAAATCTCAGGAAAATCGAGACCTGAAATAGGTCACACCTTTCTGCATTGGAGATCGGGTTACGTCAGGTCCGGTCAACCATCAGACATCCTGCCGCCTATTTTGTGTTGACCACTACTGGCCATAGGCGGCGCAACGGGGAGGGCACCGGGGCACCGTGCTCCCCTTTGATTTTTAACATTAGCCCTATGGGCGTTGCATGAAAACAATGGGACCAAAAGTCGGCAGTGCCCCCTTAATTGAAGATGTTCCGCCGCCACTGCCACTGGCAAGTGGCAGCTGCTGCAGAAGCCGTGCGGCATGAGGTCAAAAGCGGCATGAGGTCATAAAAATAATAGCCGCTTCCCAGGTGCTGATAAATGTTGAACTCGAAATCTGCTTAAAAACTACGGTAAATTGTTGTAAAACTTTAAAAAATGGCAAACGAGGTCATTTCGGATATTGTTTCCGTTTAGGTGTAAGATTGATTAGAGTGACCACCCCAACTAAACATTAGTTTTGAGTTGAGATAGCCAAACTGGGGTCCCTGGCTTGCATTTACCGGTTTGGGCACTCAGTAAGTATAACTTCATAGACCAGAGGCCAGTTTTACCAAAAAACACCAGCCGGCCGCCGAAATAAAATATCCAGCCGAAAAAATAGCCGCCACACAGCCACGAGTTTCACCAACAAAAAAATCCCAGCCAACATCGGCCGGAAATATTTGTCGCCGGCAGTCAGCTGATATTTTAATATCGATAATGGTCAAGGAGATTGATAAATTATTTAAAACATGCTTCAAATAAAGTTAAGCGTGTTTTTTTAAAGCAAATACAACAAAGATTGAGAAATATTATTATTGGAAAACATAACATATATTTTCAAGAGTTGTCACCACAAAATAGACTATAATAAACTTGCCAATACAAGACCACCAAATTGTAAACCTACGTCATTTATGACGGTCACGATAGGAAGCGTGCGTTTTAGTGGATCTTTTTTTCCTGTCAGCCTATTATTTTTCATTTTTACAATACCTTCAACTTGCAATTAACCTTTTTGTCTGCTTTTAGTTGCACCTTGTAGAAAATAATCGTGTCGAACGTGCACGCAATGTATGGACCCCCACTCCCACCTTTTATGAGGTGGGGACTATAATAGATGGGACCCGCTCCCGACGCGGGAGCCGCACCTCTTTCCTAGATGTCAAAAGAGTGGGGAAGAAGCGGCAAACATTGTTCCCAGAGGCGCCACCTGAAGCTGGACGGACAGTTCCGCTGCCGAGCGAGTGAACTGCGGTGCTGCGAGGCGGCTTCGCGCGCACTGCATTACACCTACTTCTAGGACCAAGAGGGCTAAGGATTCGCCAAAGCCTATATGGGTAAAGCCTTGTGCCAAGGCGAGTGTCATACCTCAGGAAGATACCTACCCAGATTAACTGCACCGCGGTCATTGCAGGGCTGAGGGCGGTCATTCGCCCCACTTCGGCGAGGTGGAAGTCATGCAGCCCGGCTAGGTGGTTTCAGCCGATATGCAGGCCCTGTTTGCCGGGCCCAGTCAAGACGAAGGAACGCCACACAGCAAACAATATAAGCTCCGGCCCCGCTACACTGGTCCGGCTCGTAACAATACCTGCGCTAGCTTCGTCGACCGTCGTTCGACTGCGCCCAGTACCGCTCAGTGGAGAGTCCTGCCGAACTCGTCCACGTGTGCCGAGATCATTCGTTGCGCACGGACACAATCGTCCGACGGAGACCGCTTTACATGATGATCGCGTGGTGACCACCTTTTCGCCGGCTTCCACGCCCAGTCGAGCCGTCTGGCTACGCCCCAACCAAATGATCGTTCTAAGCCTTTCGACTGGTTTGCAAAACTCGGGTCTAATATCGAAGTATTTGAGAGTAAGGACACGTTAAATCCGTGTTCATGAACAAATATACATTATGCAACTAAAAACGCCTTACCTACTTTAACTTTTCTGGGCTGATGACAAGGTAAACACCTATTCATTGTAATATTTCTAAAATGTAAATAAATCATGAGCGATGAGCGTAAAAAAGGTGAAAAAAGCGATCAACTAGAAGCTAGCGTGGAAATCCACTGACGTAGGTCGCCTCGTACTGGCGCAGCTCGTACAGCGGCACCGGCGTCTCCCGCACCCGGCCGACCACCTTGCCCGCCTGCGCCATCAGCCGCTAGAAATGGCTGGGCTGCCGCTCAAACATTAGCGTGACCGCCTGGCCGGCCCGGCTAACGCGCGCCGTCCGACGCACGCAGTGTGCCTTCAACAGCGCCGGGATGTCGTACGACACGACCGCGTCCACGGCGTCCACGTCAATACCGCGCGCCATAGCCTCGAGCACACCAGCATCTCAGCTGGCGCGCGCCGCCGCCGCGCTGGCCCGCCGGCACTGCCCCAGGGAACTCGGCCTCGCGCGCGCCCAGCACCGACAGCGGTAGCTCCAGCTGGTGCGCTGCCTCGTTCTAGTTGACCAACACGAGCGAGCGCCGCCAGTCGGGCTGTCGGAGCAACTTGTGCATCAGCAGCGGCTTCAGCGGCTGCGGCGCCACCACGTTGAACGACTCGCTCAGCTCGGCCGGCGTGGTGAACCTGCCGACGAACTGACCGGGCAGTGCGATGGCGGCCGGCCGTGCCGGCCACCAGCAGTCGCGGCTGGAACAGCGACATTCGCTCCAGCTTCTCCGGCCTCCGGGTTCTGTGACAGGGTAGCCAAGAACGGCAGCTTCTGCAGCGGCAGGTGAGGCGCGCAGACGGCGGCGGCCGTCAGCCGGCCGGCGATGCAGGGCGGCGGGCCGTGGCTGCCGCCACCCGCTCCACCGCTTTCAGCCAGCCCGTCTCGGCCATCTCGATCACCCGGTCGGCTTCGTCGATCACCAGGTAGCGCAGGTGCGCTAGCGAGAAGCCCTCGGCGCTGGGTATGTGATCCATCAGCCAGCCAGGAGTGCTCACCACGATCAGCCAGGGAGACCGGGCCGCGCGGCCCCACCGCCACCAGTTGGTGCCCCCCCCCCCCTCGTGCCACTTCGTCTCCACCCAGCAGCCGGACGCAGAGCGGCGTGTCGGCGTCGTACTGGCGGAACACGGCGGGCACCTGAGCGGGCAGCGCCTGTGTGGGTAGCACAGCTAGCGCGCGCACCCGGCGGCCGGCGCACCGCGGCGCCGCGCCTGCACCAGCGGCAGCACGAACGGCAGCGTCTTACCGCGGCCGGCCGGCGCCGAGACGCAGAGGTCGGCCGGTGGCAGCGGCGACTCTGCGGCCGCCAGCAACTCGGGCAGCACCGTCACCTGCACCAGGAACACCTGTTCGATGCCCTCGGCGGCGATGCCCTCGTGTGGGAATAATTGAGGCCAATTATTCCCACACGACATCAAAAAAATAGACGGGGTCGCCTGTCTATTTTTTGGGGCTGTTTTTCTACATATAATGGCGCAGATAAACACTCCATTAATGTCGCATTTGCCGTTGGTGAAACTCGTTGGCTATTTTTCTGGCTGATATTTGTTCACGCCGGCGGATATTTTTTCGCCTGGTTGGTGAAACTCGTCGGCGGGTTTTTGACAGACAAATTGCGCCGGGCTGCTATTTTTCTGTTGGTAAAACTGGCCTCAGTATAACGCCTTTTGGGGCGACTAACGGAGCGAGCGAGAGGGTGGGCCTTGCGCGTGCGAAATTGCGAGGGGGTACCTCCAACTGACTTGTGCATGACATCCTACTAACCGGTCTCTAGCGATGTGCCAAATTTGGGCACAATCGGCCCAGCCGTTCTCGAGATCTGGAAGCGGCACCCTGCACGTGCGCACGTGCAAAATGGGTCCCAACTGACTTGTGCACGGCACCCTACTAACCGGTCCCTAACTGTGTACCAAATTTGAGGGTAATTGGTCGAGCCGTTCTCGAGATCTGGAAACGACCCCTGCACGTGCGCACGTGCAGCAGCGCCCCAACTCTAGCACATGGATATGTAGTGCCTAGTGGGTGCCAACCTACATGCCAACTTTCAGCGCAATCGGCCAAGTAGTTACCGAGATATTGCAACAATTACAAAACGGACACCTCTTCGTTTTGCACGTGGCACGTGCATAAGGGGTCACCCACATGCATCAGGAATAGTCCAATACTTGTTAGAAGGAATGAAGCTACCCTACAAAAATTACCGCGTGTAAATCGGTCAAGTGGTTGCTGAGATATAAGCCTAGCAAAAGCGTGACCACGGCCGGCCGGCCGCTCATACTCAGAAATTTCCGTTAACCCGCGCCCCGCTGGGCTATTCAGCCATACGCGCCCTGCTGGGGGGGGGGGGGCAGATTCTGCCCCCCCTGTCTTACTTCCGAACCGATGGTCGTAGAAAGACGGGGAAAACGGCAATCAAAAGCTCTCAACAAGGCGGATCTTAAGAGCCCAAATTTTTTTGCTTAAGTAGGTCAGAGGTCAGGTCAAGGTCAGGTCAAGGGTACAAAATGCAAGTTTCTGCAGTATCGGCCTTGCACCGTAGTTGCCGAAGAATGGACTGAGACT